GTTAGAAATGCCACTGCAGCAGAATGGTGAAGCCCCAATACACCACCATTAGTAAAACAGATCGCAAATTTTCAGGGACTCTTCGCTGTGGAAAAAAATGGCTAACTCAGAGATGAGAATCTTGTAGTGGTGATCTAAACATGTAACTATCTTTCATTAATTACACCCCTAAGAAACCAATGCTTAAGAGGCCTACATAGCTCAACACCCTTGCTTTCCTACTAATAATTTTTGGTATTAACAAAGCACCATTATGGTTCATAACTAATCCATAAGGGATCCATGTGATAATGTCATCTCTTATCACAATCTCTTTTTAACCTTCCATCCTATTCTTCCTCTACTCTTCCTGCTTTTTTCTGTAAAAATATATGGCGAGCAACAATAAATTTATCATTAAAAAATACAAATAAATGCCTTGCTCAAGAGGTCACACAGTCTAAGAGTGAGGAACTCAGGAATCCTGATGCCCAGTCCCCAGATCTAACTACTAGACTGAACTCTTTCAATTTGACATAATATGAGAGTTCCTTCCCAGGGCTGTTAAACTGAGCCTGTCACTCAATTCACTTTGTTTATATATTTTAAAAAGACTACTAAGGCATGATCCTCAACTACTGAAATCAATGGGAACTTTACAGTCCCTAGCTAGAGGCATAAGTCTTCAGAGTGGACACTAGGAGTGAAATCCTGGCCCTACTGAGTTCAATAGCAAAACTCCCATTCTCTTCAGTGGGGCTATGACTTCACCCCTAATGTTCACACTTTTCCAGGAAGATTCCATCTCTTTTGCTACACCCCAAAATGCAAACACAAAAGCTTCCATCTCTGTTTCCCAGGATGCTGATCTATTTGGTCACACATATAGGTCAACATATGCAGTCCTGAAGACAGAACACATACCCACTGGGTACACTGCCTCTGTATAGTTAATAGATCCACTTAAATGGGCCCGTCAAAAGGTTGTCCCCATCCTGTGGAACTTGCAGTCCTCTACTGAACCTTTTGTCAGCTTGTCCATGAGAAGATGGGGTAGTAAGCAAAGCACCGTCATGAGACAGACTGTCATATGACGTGCAGTGTAAAGAAATTAAAGGACCAAAATCTGTTTTTGCCACAAATACTTTATGATCCTTTTTATGACACAACAAATAAATCATAAAAGCAACTTTCAGAGACTCTTAATCAATACATGAATAATTAATAGTAACTTGGCATTTATATAGCACCTTCTATCTCAAAGCACTTTAAAGATTAAGGCAACAAGTCCCACCACTAGAGCTGGTTGGGAATTTTTTCTAAAAAATGGGTGGTCTGAAAATGCCAGTTTGTCAAAACTGACACATCAATTTTGACAAATCAAATTGATAAAAACGGCTAGAGGCTGATCTCTGTAAAACTTAGGGTGACCAGATAGCAAATGTGAAAAATTGGAACGGGGGGGGTGTGTGTGTGTGTAATAGGAGCATATATAAGAAAAAGACCCCAAAATTGGGACTGTCTCTATAAAATTGGGACATCTGGTCACCCTAGTTAAACCTAATGACCCAGTTTCTGCATACTATTTCCTATCCAAACCTAGAAAGTGAAAGCATTTTGAGATACCCAGCATTAATATTGCATGCATATTATTTCTCATGCTTTGTAGAAGCCAGATTTCACACAGCCTCAGAGCTGAAAAGCAAGGAATATAAACAGAATGTATTTAACACACCCACTGTCTGTATTTAACTCACCCACAATCTGTATTTCCCACGCATGGGAACATCATCAGCCATTAGCTCTTAACAAGTTAGTCAACCAAGTAGCACAGACATGGGTTTTGGTCACATATGAGATGAGTTTATTCTCCTTTATTAAGTGCCCATGGGGCATTTATCCAAATCACCACTCAATTGTGTATTAACAACACCCTGTATTTTAGACAAGCATAGCACTGGAATAACAGGAGGTTCTGGGGATAAGGACCGAGGTACATTGGCAAAAGCTCTGGACAGACCAAGGACTCAAACAACTGATGGTGCTGCAGATCAGGTTGCGGTGTACAGGCACATTTGATTTCAAGAGAAAACTTGACCAACTTTTGTTGTCATTAAGCTTAATTACCAAGGTTTTCTTTTGTGTACCCTAACATTCATCAACTGAAAAATAAAGTTAAAAGCTAGCTGTGATCACTGTAGCTGTGCATTTGCCAGCTGCATTCCTGTATCTAGTTAGTTCCCCATGTTGAGGACTGCCACAACACTACCTTTAATTAGGGTGACCAGATGTCCCAATTTTATAGGGACAGACCCGATATTTGGGGCTGTGTCTTATATAGGTGCCTATTACTCCCCACCCCGTCCCGATTTTCCATACTTCTGTCTGGTCACCCTACCTTGAATGAGACTGACCTGTTAGTGGGGATTGCAGTGCTGTTCCACCTACTTACTATTGCTGTTTGTTTTTTATTTGTGATCTCCCTGGGAATATCATGAAAACCTTCTAATATTATTTAGAAATGGATATAAATGAAATCACTGTAACCAGCACAGGCCAGAAGTGTTGCTATGACAGGTTATTAAATATAGCCCAGGGAAACTACCACCTATAAAGGTCACACTTGTGCAAATTTGCTAGTGTAGAAATAACCCAGCCACTTGGAAACTAATCTAATTTGGGGCATTTTATATGCCCTGTATATGGCATAACCCAGCATCATTTATCTCAATTTAGAGTAAATATTAGCACTGGTGGAATAATGGGAGGAAAAAGCACATTCTCAAACATATTTGCAAATTACACAAATTTGATTTGCTACTATTCTTGGGGACATAATACTGATTACTTGAGAATATTGGAACAAGCTCTAGAACTCACAAAAGTGTTTGTGAAGCTCAAAAGTTCTGTGTATATGTATTGGAAGACGTGCATTTTAGGGAGCAGAAGAAAGAAATACCATACAACCAACCAAATGCCATGATTAGTGAATTATCATTTTGCAAACAACCTATAATTTGAAAATTATTTGTCCACTCCACTATGTATTCAAAGCCTACATTTACACTAAATTTACTTGGTCCTGCCTCAGCGCAGGGGACTAGACTTGATGACTCCTCAAGGCTCCTTCCAGCCCTACATTTGTATAATTCTATAATTAGCAGAAGTTAGGAATGATTCATAGATGAATCACGAGACAAAAAAATGCCTGCATTTGCTATTTTTTTGCCTCAACAAATACCATTTACCATCATTAATAAAAATGCCCTCAAACTAGTTTCATGAAAGTTATTTCATGGGATAATTTCCATTCAAAAGTCTGACTGGTGCTAGGAAAAGGAGAAGTGCAAAGTATTACCCGATCCAGTCATATGGTCACATTCTAGCTTTTGGAAAAAAAACAAAATGAAAAAAAAAAAAAAAAAAAAAAAACCACAGCAGGCCTAGTACAAATAAGACTCTGCTAACAAGATTAAACAAGGGGAAGCAACCAGAAAGGGAGGGTCCTTGGACAAATTAAAAGCAAAATAATCAGAAAAAGTCAACATGTGAAAATGCAACTTTAGTGTGAAACTGACATTAACATGAGGACATGGGGGGCAGTGGAATGGACAAGGTAAAGATTTTTCCCTGTGGACAGACAGACAGACATATACACACACACATATATATATGAGAAATTTCAAATGCTTCAGACATCAAGCAACTTAAAATTGAAAAAATTAGGAATGCAGAATTTCAGTGTCTCTCTCTCTGTGTATACACACACAGACACACATGGAAATTCTGCTTTTCTAATTTTTTCAAGTTTAAGTTGCCTGATGCCTGAAGTATTTAAATATCCTGTAGTAACATCAGTAGCAATCCTACTGACAGGAAATCATTAAAATACATTTCTCTGGAATCATGAAGGAAACCTTCCCTCCCCCCAAAAAACATGAGTAATTGCATAGAGCAGCTGAGAAGGAGGTGGATGGGAGCAACTTCCACATATCCTTTATAAGTGACTCATTAACCCTTCCCTCCACACTGTACAATAAACCCCTGGTGTTTATACAAAAAAGATAACGTACTCTATATTATTGTAAGATAAGAGCTCATTTGGTAGCTCAAGGGTTGCTAGTTTGCATGTAAATAACAATCATTCTATACAGGTATCTAAAGGGTATAAGAGGTTGAGGAATGGTCAAAGAGAATATAGCTGGGAGTAATGGCATGAAATTGAGGCAGGGAAATTTAGGCTGGGTATGGAAAAACTTAGGTCTGTGGGGAGTCTCCAAGGGAAGCTGTGGAAGCCCTGTCATTTGAGTCACACACAATGTATAAAACGCTGGAGGGAGCAGTCTTGCCCTGGCCTCTGGAGGATGACTGGATGATTTTAAAAGATCTCTCTCATCTCTAATTTCTAGGATTCCTTTACATGTCTCCACTCCAACAGGACTGTAAATCACATCCCTGCTCTCTCCCCCGCCTCTTGCCCATCAAGTGACTTTAAAAGAATGAGGTGTAATATCTGCTCTTGGTTTAGGGGGGAGAATTCTCCACCCTTTTTACATTTTTTCCCCATAGAGCCGAGCGTATTCCCTGGACAATTTGCTAGGCTAGGACAACATGCAGTGCATTCTATACTAAAATATATTAACAAACGCACCTTGGTAGACTATAACAATGATCCTCGGTGTGTGTGTGTGTATTGTAAAGAGCTGCTGCTGTTGTGTGTGTGTATTGTAAAGAGCTGTTGCTGCTGCGTGTGTGTGTATTGTAAAGAGCTGCTGCGTGTGTGTATTGTAAAGAGCTGCTCTCTCTGTGTATTGTAAAGGCTGCTCTCTCTGTGTGTGGTAAATAATACACTTCCGAGAATGCTAGGAGGTCCGTAGTGAACAGTGGTTTCGGAGGAGGGCTCCGAGGAGTAACGATTGTCCAGGGAGACGCCTTCCCAGTCTCCACCTGCCCTGCCTGCTCTAGGGCACTTTCTGTGGATAAAGCCAGAGACACACGGGAGGGAGGAGAGGTCACATTACCTTGGAAACCGCCTAGAGAGTCCTCAGCCACCGCAAGCAGAGCAGGGGAATGGGCGAATCAAAGCGCCAGCAGCAGCGGGAGGAAAGTTGAGCGGCAGGCTCTCAGGTCAGCAGCAGCAGCAACCCAGAGAGGGAGGCACAGAGCCGCTGCCCCTGAGCGGTCCCCTAGTGAGGACTCCAGCTCTCTCCTCCTCCCCTCCTCTTTAGAGGAAGGGAGCTTTGCAAGAGCACAGCCTGATTGGGCAGCATCCTGAGCCTGAGGAGGAGAGGCAGGGAAAATGGGGATTGGCTGGAGGGGGGAGTGGAGAGGGGGGTGTCCCCTCCCCTCTCTCACCCAACACTGTGGTGCTGCTGGGCAGGCTCTGGTGCCCAGGTTCTCACCTCTGGGGTTCGCTGCTTACAGTCGGTGAGCTCCTAGATTTGCTCTGACAGGTCTCAGATCTAACCTTGTTTATCAAGTTTCTTCGAATGCAGGCATGGATTGTACAGCCCCTTCCCTGGAGAAGTCGTTTTGGGGGGTGGGGGGAAGAAAGGGGGCAGGTAGTAAATTCACAGGTAAATGGCAAAGCCTTTCTATAGATCATAAAATAACATCGTAGCATTTAAACCAACTCCAGATTCCTTGTTCACATCCCTCCCCCGTCACTATTTGAGTTTTCAATATAAAAAGAAGTTACATGTGTTAGTAAAATATTGTAGCTAAAAATATCACTTAACATTATGGTTGGGACACAAACAGGTGGTTAAAAGTGAGTGAGTCAGTGTTTAAATGACACTGTCAAGGGATCTGGAATCAGATTTTTATTCCCTCGCTCATAATATTATTTACCCGTTTTTTTTTTAAACCCTACACTTTGGATCCAAAAGCTGTTTTCCTACAACCCTCACCATATGGGCTCAGATTCAGTCACATACACACTGTTTACTGCAAGATTGCTCCTGAATGTTTGACTGTCTGGCCCAATGGTGGGCAACCTGCGGCCCATCAGGGTAATCTGATTGTGGACTGCGAGACATTTTGCTGACATTGACTGTCTGCAGACATGGCCCCCGCAGCTCCCAGTGGTCACGGTTCGCCATTCCTGGCTAATGGGAGCTGCAGGAAGCGGTGGGCTGCAGGTTGCCCACCACTGATCTGGCCTATTGCACTTAAAAGTCCAATTCTACACCATGGAAATCAATGGGACTTTTAATGTTAACTTCAACGAGAGCAGGATCAGACCCATAAAGCCATCTTCCAACAGATGATCCCAGAGGACTTTATAACTAGACAGCCTTCTCGATGTAAGCTTTTTGGGGCAAGGGCTGTGCCTCTTTTTGAATTTGTACAGTGCCTTGTACTATCATAAACAAATAATCAGAACAACCAAATGCCTGGGTTGGAGGGAGTATTCTCATATTTTATAGCTGGGAAACTGAGGTACATGACTTACCCAAGCCAAGCAGTGGCAGAGCCAGGAAGAAAACCCAGAAGTGCTGTGCTGTATCCATGAATCCATCTCTCTCTCAGAAGAGATATAAAACATGAGAGCAAAAGGAGACAGTGATGGAACAGTGTGATTGTGTATGTTTGGATTATTTGCCAATGCCACAGCTGATCTCTGATCTCTTTCCTGAATCTCACTGATTCATTGTCCCTTTCCAAATGTGGTCCCAAACCAACATCAGCTATATTTCCTGTTGGCCTGTCCCCTCACACCCACCCAGGCTGTTTCTTCCTAATACCGACCTTTCACTTTTATCAGATTTTCTCACCTAATCTCAACTCTTCTAACATTTCCATCACTATCCACACAACTGAAAAGCACAACATAACTGCACCATTATTATTACTAAAGCCAGGCGAGACAACTTCAGTACTTCTGGCTTCTCCTGCCTGATCTCTGTGTCCTTCACAGAGATTGTCAAAGCTGCTTGGGGCTTCCTGTTTCTACACTATTGACAGATACTCCCATCCCCCACTAATTACATATATATAAAAAATAAAATCAAGAAAAATTTCCTTTGCATGAAAAAATTGACACACGGGTGCCAACTAGTGGCAATGAGGTGTTGTTACACTGTTCAGTTGCATAACTCAGTTTAAGGGTATGTGAGGGCTCCGGCAATGTGCATCTGTGCTTTCTTAGGAGAGGAAGAGGAATACTAGTTGACAAAGCTAATGCCGGGTTTATACATTGCCCAAAGGTCACGAAAGATTTAGGGTACTAGTTTAACACTATAGATGGATATAAGATCTTCTTTGCAGACATTCCTACAGCATTTACTGATCATTCAATTTGACAACGGGGATTGCATTTCCAGAGGACCCTCCTAAATTTGTGCCTGCAAAATCTGTGCAAGCACTTATGTACAGTTACTTATTCTGCATGTGTAAATGCTTATTTTCAAATGCAGAATCAGGGCCCAAACCCACAAGGTGCAGTGAGCCTCCTACAAGGTGCTGAATTCCCTTAGTACCCATTGGCTTCCCTAGGAGATGTGTGCTTAGCACAGTGCATGATCAGGCACTTAGGAGACCCACTGAGAAGATTCCTTTCATTTATACATGATATGCAAGAGTCAGATTTTCCATGTAAGCTTAATTTTTCCTGCAAGTGTCCCTTTCAGCATCCTTGCCATAAGACATAGCCCTCTTGCTCTTGTTGGGCAATCCAGCTCAGGTCACAGAACAGCAAATAACTGATTAATCTTAAATGTTTATCCACACATGAACAGCAATTAACATGTGTGTTTCCAGCCAGCACAAGATGTGCAAGCACAGAATAAAACAAGGGACTCCAATTGTAGAGTAACATTAAAAAAATTGAAAGGACAAAGCCTGAATCAATGAAGGGACTTAGGTATTGCAACACTGAGCATTGCAATACTTAACTTTTAGGCCCCTTGAAAAATCACTGAAATCCACAAGTCTGGGTTAGGCATGTAGGTTCCCTGTACAATCCATGGGGAGAGAAACACACTCAAGAATGGGATCGACAAAAGCCAGCAGGTAGCCTCCTAAATTAGCCAACAGGAGATACTGATACCTTATCCCCGCTCCCTCAGAGAATTAGGCACCTCAGTCTGAGTTGAAGGAAACCTCTGCTTGCAAGCCACAGCGGGGAACCCCTCTCCTGGAGTCAGATGCCCATGGGGTGTAAGCTGTCTCTTGCAAAAATGGTTTAGGCACCTGCCTAACTCCACACGATGGGGTAGGGAGGAGGACAATACTCCTTTACAACCTTTAGCCCAATGGTTAGGGTACTCATCCAGGATGTGGGGACCCCAGTTCAATTCCGACCTCTACCCAATGTGGAGAAAGGATTTGAACAGGAGTCTCCCTGCTGTCAGTTCCCTAACCACTGCACTATAGTATCACACTCTCTCTCTGGCTCAATTAACATTTAATTATTTTATAGAAAGTGGAATGTCTTCAACAAGAGAGATTGAGGGAGTCCCACATCAGACTATCCCATAGTCCAGTTGTTATAGAGCACTCACTTAAGAGATGGAAAACCCCTGTTCAAATCCCTTCCCATCAGGCAGTGGGGGAATTAAACCAGGGTCTCTGGCATTCCAGGCGAGTATCCTAACTGCCAGGCTAAAGGTTATAAGGGAGCCAGTCTCTCCCTCAGGCTGTTTTGTGTGCAGTTAGGCATGTTTTGGGCACAGCTGCTGGATCAGGCCCCATCTGTGAGCTGGCCAGGGCAACACCCATCTTCAGCTGGTTTGAGGATTGTGCGGGGGCTTAGACATCAGATACATGTCTGGACTCTTAGAGCGAGGCATGGTGCATGTGCAGAGGCAGAAATTTAGGTGCCTAGGAAACTTTTACATAGAACGTTTAGGTGTCTACAGGGTTAGGCAGCAGCTGAATGAGGTTTTGTGGTTCATGATAATGCCTAAATCTGGGACGAAGGCACCTAAATCTGGGGTCTAGGTGCCTAAATCCTTTTGTGGATTTGGACCCAAACCTTTTTGTTTTTATTCAGACTACAGCTTGTTTCCTTGATTCCTCAGTCTTGCCTGCTCCTTACGTGGCACTCCATTGAGCAATATATGAAGAATTTTTTTGATCTCCGCATGTGCACATCATCCCATAGTTAAGCAAACCCAATTACCACACCACTTCCACATTGGAATAAAATTCAAATTTCTTAGTAACTACCCCACATGGCACCCCATATTCCAATACTTTAACTAGTACATTCATTGCTAGCTACAAATATACAGATATCTTAACTGCTGGATGCCAGATCCTTAGGTGGTGCATATGCTCCTAACTCCATTGAAATCAATACGCAACAATGATTTACACCAGGTGAGCATCCAGCTCTGGATTTCTTAATGGCTTAGACTAATTGAGCATTTTCTGCAAGGTGATAAATTTATCTCCTTTTCACCTTCTAAACAAAAACTCTCAGGAAAAGAATAACCCATTTTATGTTCCTTCAGCTCTAACACTTTGGGTAAAGAGTGGCCCCACTGACATCAATGATAGCATTGTCATTGATTTCAATGGGGGCTGGATTTCACCCTTTCTCTGTAAGATTAAGGGCTTGCCTTCACTGCAAAGTTATAACTCCAGTGCTGCCCCTCACTGGTGTACCATCCACACACAAAACCCTTTAATTTAAGCCTGTGGTGCTTTTACCTGAATTGGCTGGCCCATCAGAGGGTATTGGATAAGCTTAGAATAGAATCATAGAATATTAGGGTTGGAAGAGACCTCAGGAGGTCATCTAGTCCAATCCCCTGCTCAAAGCAGGACCAACACCAACTAAATCATCCCAGCCAAGGCTTTGTCAAGCCAGGCCTTAAAAATCTCTAAGGATGGAGATTCTACCACCTCCCTAGGTAACCCATTCCAGTGCTTCACCACCCTCCTAGTGAAATAGTGTTTCCTAATATCCAACCTAGACCTCTCCCACTGCAACTTGAGACCATTGCTTCTTGTTCTGTCATCTGCCACACAGGGGCGGCTCTAGCTTTTTTGCCGCCCCACGCATGGCAAGCAGGTTGCCTTCAGCGGCTTGCCTGTGGGAGATCCCCGGTCCCGCGGCTTCGGCGTACCCGCCACCGAATT